AGATCAGTTGTAGGTACTTTATTTGACCACAATGGGACATGAGTCACTCTGTAAAGCCCTGTTTCTTTAATTCCTCCTATTATTATGGAGGCTAGGAGATAAAGCAGTAAAATACATGGATAAGCTTGCCAGGTCTCTGAAGGCCTTTCAAAATCAAGCTTGCATGGACCCATCTTCTAATTTACAACCTGCATCATTGTTATCTGATTGTATAGGCAAAAAAAAAGAGAAAACTTTTGATTTAAAGCGTTCTTATGCCTTTATCATTCATTTGAGTGAAACGTCTAAAACCCATTTTCACTGTATCTCTGAGAAATGTTCATAATTTGATAGATTAACATCTATATAGTTCACTGATCACATTATACATATAATTCTGCTGATTAAATAGTCAAGAGCATATTATAACACATTAAATTGTTCAGCTACTACAAGTAATGTATGTCTCTCTACTGCCATCCAACTGTAGTGTACATAAACATCAGAAAAAGATAAAATTTGAAGTTAAGAGCTTATCAAGTAGGAGATGAAATATGGTTGTTGGATAAGTAACTGTTTTAAAAAATGTTTGAGATTGCTTATCATTTGTTTGTATTCTTATCAAAGTTGAAGGCCACACACAGACACACAGTGATATGTAGATGCCATGTTTCTACTGCATAGAAGTTATCAGACTGTATTGTCTGTTGAGAGCCAGAAGGGCATTAACATATACAATATTACTTAAAGTTAGCACCCTTCTAGCACTTACTACATTGTACATGACCTTAACACTTTATATGTAGGGCCAAAGCTTGCACATTTTTAAACCAAAAGAAGAAAGTTCTTTGCTTATCTTTTATTTCAGATTAAATATTTTGCACACAATTTATCTCTGTATTGGCACTCCGATATCAAGAATCTAACATTGTTTCACAAAACGATTTATATTCCAATATGAGACATATTATTATCACAATTTGTCTTCAGAATGTCCTTACAGGTATTACAAATTTGTTGGCATTGATTCTCGTCAATGCTATTACATTGGGTTTTACTGCAGAATGCTTTCAGCCTGTAAGCCATGTTGCTGCTACTGCAAATCCTTACCAGCCTCATCCAATTACAATGGGTCCTGGAATAACTAGAATTCATCTTGTTTATTTTTAATATTGGATTAAGAGAGGATTACAAGCAATATCTTGACATGTTTAAGGATTAGGGATCGACTATCTGTCTGTCATGTCTTTCCTCCTAAACTTTCTTTATGAGCCTAACAATATTTGTTATTATTATCGTCTGTCTGTTGAAAGCCTGAAGGAAATTTAATTCTTACCCTTTAACAAAGAGTAATGCCCCCTTTCTTGCTCAAAACAGACAAAATATTAATAGTGCAGAAGTACCTTATACCATCACATGTATACAGTCGTTGTTGAGACATTAAATATACACTATGACAAATTTAACATACAATGGGTTATATTGGCCTCTTGGTCTCGTTAAAACGTTCTAAATTACATTTTAAAATGCATTTAACAAGCTTTCAGAATTCTGTGAAACGTTGAAGAGAGTGCTCCTAGTACCTTGTTTTTCGCGAGATGATGAAGATGATGGGCATGGATTCTTGGAACGTAGAGTGAGTGATGCGGCACCTACCAAGAACTGAGAATGCTTGTAGTTAATCAGTTTACTTCATGAATAAGCTAGGTGTTGGAGATGAAAGGCTCGTTTTCCATTAGGCTGTGGGCCATTAATAATAATGATAATAATAATAATTAAAGGAATTTCTTTAGCATCGTCTATCTAGAAATTCTATTCTGAGGCGCATTAATTATTTTAATGAAACTATTAAAATACCGGTAGGGGTAGGGGTACTATGCACTATTGACTTAAAAATTTCAATTTGAGCTAATACTACTCGTATTACTTCCGAAGTATTAGTAGAATTATTACCTCATATTTCAGTTTCTATAAGGGAATGATATATGATGACTTGTATACATTCTTAAAGTTGCAGGATTGTTATTTATTCGAGAAACATTTTTCTCTTTCGTTTTGTTGTTGTTGAGATTTTTTTTTCATTTTTAGTTGGTTACACCCCCGAGATCATAGAATGGCAAGCCATGCGGACAAAACTTTTGTAGAATTTTTTTCATTTGGAATTTATCAACGGGGGGGGGGGGGGGCAAGAAAAGAAAACGAGATGAGTGAAATTCAGCTTGTTATTTGATTCCAGAAAGAATGGTTTAAATATGAATTGTAATTATGCCCTGGATATATATTTTAGTTCAGTGACCTGTCCTTCCAGGTTTTGTGTGTGAGTCACCATTCCTCCTCGCTTTTGGATACCTTCCAGACATTCACATCATTGTGCAACATTCTTTTCTCTATCGTTTTGTGTGTGGAAAATGTTGTTTTCTTCAAAGAGACCCCACTTACTTACATCAAGTTACATGACTTGTATTATTTAAACATGAGATGGTGTTAGACTATGGTCCATTGTGGAGTGCCCTCATGAATAGTCTAATTTGTCAATTGTACTTCAGGGACTCTGGATATCTTAGAAGTGTAGAATGTTACAATAGGGGGTGATTCTATTGTAGCTAAAGGCCAGTCAGGTCTAAATGATAAAAACAACTAACAAAAGAGAACAAAGCAGAGTTAAACATTAAAATGTATTTATCTCTCCTCTTTCTCTCTCTCTCTCTCTCTCTCCCTCCCTCCCTCCCTCCCTCCCTCTCTCTCTCCGTCCGTCTTTCTCTTTATCGGTCTTTTTCTCAGGTGTTTTGCCAATTTTTTTCTTTCTTTTTAATCTTTGAAATGAAATGACTCACCAGGCAGCCCCTCTTTCCTGTGGTTTTGGTTCAGGGATTTATCCTTGTCTTGAATGAGAAAAGAGATTTAGGTGGTCTATTTCACTGAATTAGCTTCAGTCAGTCCGCACGTCCGAAAAAATGTGCTTCTTTTATTTCCAGCGACGATCTCGTGACCTTCGTCTGACCTCTGAAGCCGCTGTGAAACACACTTTTGCAAACGCTCATAGTTTCGCTCTTAGTTATTTTTTTCTTTTTCTGTCTTTAGATTTCACAAGATGAAACCCCAACATTTCTGTACATATATATTTTTAATGAAATTGGTTATCGGAAAGGATTCATATTTGTAATAAGATATTGCCAAACATTCACAAATCACAAGGTTTTATATTTACCGTTATAATTTTTATTTAAACCCCCGAGACGTAATTGCCATATAAATATTCCGAATCCACATATATTCACCTTTCTAATGAACCTAAATATTTGATGATTCATCTCATGACAGGGTCAGGATCCAGCAAAATGTTAAACATTGTCCCCGAAAAATTCACCAAAAGACGTTCTCGAACAAAACGAGCCCTCGCGAACGATTCCTGCACCCTGATTGGTTGAGCGAGCAGCCCACAATGACGTAATTCACTCAGAACGGTCCGGAACGAATCTGTCTGCTACAGTCCGCTATTTATTCCATGTAATTGTGCATTTCACCTACAAACTATTCTCATTTAAATCAGGATAATACATTGAAAAAGTGAGGTGCTTCGAAAAGAAATACATTTTGATACCGTAGGCTAAATATATCTCTTGAATTTACCGACACCAATGTGACCGAATCAGTCCCACTCTACTAAATGTGTGTACTGTTCAGAACTGCGTGAATGGCGTGAACACATCAATCTCAGCTCAGTCGCAGTCACTCAGTAAGGACCATGGGACCACAGCTCACAGGCAGCAGTTACGTGAATTATTCCGTCAAAGATATTGTCATTATTATGAATTTATTTGCCCTTAGTGAAATCAAGTTGCTGCTCAGCAATTACTAGATCGAGTGGGTTAGACTCTAATTTATTTGGACTTTTTTTGGAGTCTAATTATATTAACAGTAACCTAGACTTACAGCACTCATCCTCCAAAATCACAAAATAATATTTATATTTTTTAATGACTGCACTGCTGGAGTTATTGTTGGAATTTAAAGGTATGGTCATTAACCTTGATCACTTCATTACTTCTCCCTTTCATATTCCATGCTTTCGCATCCATCTCGCTCTTATTCTTCCAACTATAACACCTAGTCTACCACTCATTTTTACTCGTAGGCCTCTGTACCGCTCATTCTTGAAACAATATTTACAGAATTACAAGGAGCATGAGAAAAAAATTTAACTTATGAAAGGCTTTTTAATATAAAAACATATGTACAGGTTTCATCTTTAAAAATACAATATTATGTGAAAAAAAATATCACACAAATAAAATAGGCTTGTTCTTAAGTCACACACAAATATTTGGCAAGGTCTTTTTTATCAACAAAATTGAAAGTCTAGTACCAAAAAACTGACAACAATAATGTTGAAATAGACATCTACCACCATAAAGAAAAAATGTGAAAATACAATACAAATGTGTCAAGGAGATGAAGCAACTGCCTTGTTCCCAAAACAAAATAATATTTCACAATTCCTTTTGATTTCCATATTCATAAACCATAATCAAGTGATATGTGTACATGATTATAATAATGGTTTATTACCCGGATAACTTTCTTTGGCAAGAGTATAAACAAAGTAATTAAAAGTGAGGTGTGATGGAATGGTACTATGAATAACTAATGAATTAATACAAATTGCATTTCCTGATCCATCTATGCTAAATGGCAATTTGAGTAACGTAGTAGTGACATGACCTTTCTTATAACAATGTTGAAAATAATTTACTTCCTTGAAATACATACATATATGCAGAGTAGTACAATATGACAAAATAAAGAAAAACTCCCTGTGACCAATACTTATCACCATGACAGCAAATGCAAACAAAACATTTGTTAAAAGTAAAGCATACCATGATCCAAACATAAACATGATTGCATACAGACTACCCGTATTCAAATATCTTGAAGAGTTCATTTAAACAAAAATATAGAATCCTTCTTTGGCAAGAGAAGAAAAGATTGTACAAATGCTAGTAGAATAAAAATTTTAAAAAGTACATGTAAGTGTGTCTCCATACATGTAGCATTCAAAACGTCAGCTGGCAAGTTTCATCTTATTTTAAAAGCAGAATACAAGATACATGTACATGTAGATGTAACATTTTGTTTACCGGTACACTTCCTTCAACTCTAGAAAAAAATATAATAATGACCATGCATGTGTTGAAAAAAAATCTAGAATTAATAACCACTATAAATATGGGTGTAACTGAAAACACCGTGCATGTATATGAAGACAACATATCTAGGAAATACATACATATATGCAGAGTTGTACAATATGACAAAATAAAGAAAGACTCCCTGTGACCAATACTTATCACCATGACAGCAAATGCAAACAAAACATTTGTTAAAAGTAAAGCATACCATGATCCAAACATAAACATAATTGCATACAGATCACCGGTATTTAAATATCTCAGAGAGTCTATTCAAACAAAAAGATAGAACCTTCTTTGGCAAGAAAAGAAAGATTGTACAAACGCTAGTAGAAAAAAAAGTGTCTCCATAGCATTCAAAACGTCAGCTGGCAAGTTTCATCTTATTTTAAAAAGCAGAATACAAGATACATGTAGATACTAGATAGCAGTGTAACATTTTGTTTACACTTCCTTCAACTCTAGAATATAATATAATAATGAACATGCATGTGCTCAAGAAAACAATCTAGAATTAATAACCACTATAAATATGGGTGTAACTGAAAACACCTGGCATGTATATGAAGACAACATATCTACTAGTAAATCTCTTTGATAAAAAGCTGACAGTAATGTAACAAAAGTTCTAATACATATTAAGTTGTAATAACCAGTAATTACGTCAATGAGGCAGCATGAACATGTACATAACTAAATAAAACTCTGAATACAAACATATATAAAATAGAATACAAATGCCGAGCAATAACTCTTAAACATTCCGACAAGTAATATCAGTCAGTATTTAAGCCAATTCTGTTTCATCTTCAGAAAAATCTGTTATCTCAGCTTCTCTTACATTACCTTCAGAGGTCTCAAAGACATGTACATCATCATCAACCTGCATATCTCTGTCATTAATTTCCAAATCACTTTCATCACTAGATGTATAATCAGAATCATCACTGTTATCGGATTCTATTAAAGACACAGAGGTAGGATTCTGTAAATGTGTTGTTTTTACATTCTCACAGCTTCTTGATTCTCTGTACTTCTCACGTACACTAAAAATCAAATCTCTATATTGTCCTCCAGTTCTTTCCCAGACACTATTGCCAAGATTGTTAGTTCCAATATGGATTACAACTGCATCCACTGTGGAGTCAAAGTCTGTTTGTGCTCTAATTTCTGTCGAAGATTCCTAACAGTGGCACCCGGATAGCAGAATATTTTGCCACCAAACTGATCCTGATCAAAACTTACACCACGAACAATCAAGTCACCATATACATGAATCTGCCATCTCCTACATGGAACGAAAAAAAGGGAAACAAAAGAAACTAAGAATGAGTGACTGTTGATAAAAAAGCAGAAATTTAACTACGTTTAAATCTACACCAGAAAGACTGGTAAAATTCAGGGGGGGGGGGGGCAAAAGTGCCTTCAATCTCGGTTCAACACAACTCAATTTAATGGATCACTGCAATATCACCATGATAAATGGAATTCTAGGGCTGTTTCAACTTTCAAGATTGGTAGCTAATGACCTTGCTCTGACAATTGAAACTTTTGAATCTGAGAGTGAGATATGAAACTTGAAAGAATTTGAGAATAGGATAAACTAGTCTGAATAGTCACCGCAGGCGCAGCGCCCAGACATGGCAGATGCACAGGCTGCTGCATGCTGTGACCCAAGTTAATTACAAACTGATTTTGATAATAAAAAACTGGGTCTTGCTTGATTTTCATCATAGATTCTCACCCATGTCATGATCTAAGTTACTGTTACTAGACGTTTAGAACTGCAAGTAGCCAAGTGCAAATTTGGCTCCATCACCATCAGACATCACATGATCACTGATCACTCAACTCTCAGTCTCAAGTCAAGTCAAGACACAATCTCCTTACCTTGATCTAGCAAAAATATATAGAATTTGGAAGACCCTTTTTATTAACCATATATTTTTTTACGGTTATATATGTAAATTTGATAAATTCATAACATATTTGCTTCATGAATTCGACTCTACGATCTTTTCTTTCAATGTTTGCGACTGGTTACCTAACGAGTGGTTTAAACACAAAAATGTAAGTACGCGGGACTACACTATAAAAACTTGACCGTTCATCGAAAATAGCCTCTTAAGTTCGGATTCCGGTAACACGTGACTTTGTGCACATCGTTCACGGTTTCAAGACGATCAACTAATTAAATATTCATAACTTTAGGGGGGCAAATACTCATATTGTTAATTTGTGAGCCGGGACAAATTATACATCGATGGAATCGTCAACATCTGCAGATGACAATTAAAAACAAATTAAAATCGTACATTTTATGACAGGGTCAGGATCCAGCAACATTTAGAGGCTTGCAAAAACAGTTCCTAAAGAGAGGCGTGTGGTTACGACGTGTTTTCTATACGAAATTTTACTCAAATTTTACAGAAAAAGAACGATAATAGACACAAGAAAACGGACTATGTACTCACCTAAACATTGCGACCGCAGAAAGCTTGGTTTTCTCTTAAACTGCACTCGCAGTACACGGTACAAAAATCTCGTGACTCGCGAGACGTTAGATGACAGGAGCGAGCGCTCGCGGGATTGGAAATAAAACAGGCCGGTTTTGCTCATTAGCATACGACCTGCGGTCTGACTGGCTTGCCCTCTTTAATCCTAGTTAATCCTACCCTCGTACTAAAGAAACCTGCTAAATGTCTGATTGTGCATTACGTATCTTTATTCTGTGATATATCTGGGACTGTAAGGCTTTTCACACATGTACATGTAGCATTTTGTGAGATTCGTCTGAGATTTTACAGTTGCAATCAAAATCTCTTTTTTTATTACCGGTAAGTGAACAAAAAAATCTTACTGAATGTAATTGTAATTATTCTGCTCAAGATTGTTTTGGTTACTTTTGGTACTAAAAGTAGATCTCAAACTTGTCAATATCAATGTCAGTTGAGGGTAATTTCAAAGAAATTTAATTGGATTATAACCTTTTATGACATGATTTTTCAAAAGTATCATGGTTATTTAAACTACACAACATGAACTTATAGGATCAGGCCTATGTAAAATCGGGTTTCGGAGAGCAAAATCATTGCCATCAAAGAGGATTTAAAAGAATAATTTAATATTTTATAAAATTGCCATTTCCTTGAAGTGCATTATAGTAGGAGCACAATCAAAAGGGCATCATAATTCTTTGTATTAAACTCTGTATTGAATTACTCTACTGTATTTCAGCTGTCTGCATTTTCATGCATTCTTTTATTGAAAAAGTGGATTAGAAATTTGTCTCTGGTTCTCATCTCCAGACGAGATTTTATCAGGTCGTTTTCTGTTGTTTCAACTTTTTTGTTTTGTTACTTGAAACACTAGAATAAGAAAATGATTCCAAAGTTTGAGCTTTTGAGCTTTTGAGTCGGAATAGCTGTCAAATATGAAGTCGTTTCGTAATGTAATTGTGTCTTATCTCATAGAAAATTCATTATGACCACAATCCAAATACAATTATAACCAATTTATATCCATCTCCATGGAAACAAATCATAAAAATAAAACAAACAAACCTTTGGTTGACCTACTTTTGAAGTCTGTTATATCTTCATGGTTGTGGTCTTGCCTTTCTAGACCATGTAGATATTGGATTATTGAAAAGTGAAAAATATTATTAAAGATAAAGTTGAGTTCTGGTCATGTGATTGCATTGTGAAAGAAACAGTGTGGAATCTATCAGAAAAGGTTGATCATCTAGTATATAAGTATTCGTGTGTATTGCAAGGTTCTGGAATCATCAAAATGATAAGAAATTTGACCGAATCTTGGCAAAGTTACAAGCACTGTACACAGAATGATGTATATGGGACTACACAAGCACATGGCGAAAAAAACCTACCCCCGATTTTTACGATTTCATGTCATATTTAGAATATGAAGGCATTTGAAGAGCCATGCTTTTCAGGGAACATGTTTAATCTGATGTTCTTCCACTCTTGCATAATAACAATGATAACGCTAACAAATTATTTTTTACCTCCTCCCAGAACTCAACCTTCTCTTTAAGGCTTGTGCTAACTACATGTATGTTCTTTCTATGAACATCTATTTAAACACTTAAAATGTTATAAGCCAAACAGACTTAGCATGACATTTCATTAGCTTTGTATTGTACAAGTTGATAAATCCATATCCAGGCAGGTATTTGTAAAGGGAGTATTGCATTATAAAGAGAGGATTTAAAACTTCAAAACATAAATTCAGTTCATGAGTATGATGTTTGAAAATGGTTATATCAGAAATTTTGATGTGAAATTGACATTATAGAACTAATGAACATATATATCCGTACACCAAAAGACATTTAGACAACTGTACCCCAATGTTGGTGTCATTTTGTTCGATTTGTGCTGACCATGAGTGAAGGTCTTAGCTTGAGACTAAGTAATGAATGATAATTAGCTTTCAAGAAGTGAGTAAACACGTTCTCTGGCTTCAGTCAATATTGACTTACCCTTTAATATGACTTGGTTTGTTTAGGATCAGAGATTCATTGTATTGACACACTGACCCACAAACTTCCTCACAAATACCAACAAAAATCACTGCAACTCTTCGTGTGGAAACTTCACACTCTCCGCAAGCGTTAGTCAGAACTTGATGCTTACCGGTATTCAAATTTCAATTCTGGTCATTTGTAGATTCAGTGATCAAGGCTCCATGTTATTTTTCACTTCTAAGATTACTTTCTTAGTCTTAGCGGCTGTTAAGTTTTATTGAAAAATATGGTAACCATAAGGAGATATTAAGAGGAATTATTATATATTTAAATAAACATTTCATTTAATTACAATTATTACATGGAGGATAAAAGTCATTTAAGAGGAGTGATTTCTCATTACTGTACCTACATGTAAATTGGATTCAAGTTCATTACTGGTATGCAGCAGTTAAAATTGAGCAAATGAAAATGTATTGGGGGAGAAGTTAATGGCTTACTGAGTTGAAAATTAATCTATATTATAATTATTGTAGGCCCATGAGAGCTCGATGAGAGGTGTTTATTAACAAGGTTCCCTTGTACTATGCATCTAATTTATTTAGCTGGTGTTAATTGGAGTTAAGATCCATTATTTGCCTGTGCCCTAATTAGGTATTTTTCTCAAGAATCATCGATAGTTGTGTGAAGAGTATTCAGGCAGATTTAGATGGGGACTTTCTTTGTTATAAACAATTGAGTACAGAAGTTAAAAGTGTAAATAGTGATGGTGATGAGAATGATGGTGATGATTATCACAGCAACAATATCAGCATCAAAGGTTATCATCACCATCATTAGAATCATAATAATTATGATATTTAACATGACAAGAATATAGCAATGTGTAGTGTTCAGAAATACAAAGTAGGTCTGTATCAAACAGTTAAAATCACTTTAGTTTATCTCTTTGTATTAAAACTCATATTACTTGTAGTAAAGAAGGTTTTTGTCAGATAACAAATTAAGAGTGAAGGAGGTTTGAGTTATTAGATGGGTGTTTGTTGGAGCCTGACATAATGCATGTAGGAGTCCATGACATTAATGAATTCTCCTAAAACACATTTGATGCCCCGTTCAACCTATTAAAGGTTCCCACTAAATCAATATGCAGGGAGTAGTTTTACATTTTTATGTGAAGACAGCATAAAACTCAAGTCATGAAAATTGTTTTCAAGCAGCTGATTCAAGAGATAGTAAATATTTCTTCATCAACTGCAGCTCAGAATTAACATGTAGAATAACTAACGGGTATCATTCAACCTTCTTTTCAAAACAAACCCCTAAAATGTAGAGCATTCTTCCCCTTCCTAGCTACGAATAAACAGTTTGATTGATAAGTAATAACGGCACCCTATGCAGCCCCTTCTCTTTATTGGTTCTCTCTGTCGGTTTACGATCATCGAACCCAAAACGGGCAAGATTTATTGAGTCCAATATTACACGCCAAGACATTCATTGGCGATCTCTGCTCTTCCTTTCCGGGGTGGATTCTTTTAAAGAGTGAGGCGCTCCGTAAACTGCCATCGATTCCGGAGTTGTTAACACGGAAGTAATAGGAGTAATGGAATTATTTTGGGTGATAACGTAGGTGGGAGGCTGTCTGGGTATGGATGATTATTAGACGTGCTTGGATGATTTTTATCTGAGCTCCAATATTCACAGGTCGGGCCAACAAATAATTCCTATGAAGTCATTAAATTCCAGTATTAACAAAACAAAACAAAACAGTGCAAGCTGTAGCCATGTTTTTTTTTAAAACTACTCATAAATGGTAGCTCCACAGTTACATGTAAACGGCATAAGATGAATTGGTGATGGTGTTGATGATGATGATGATGATGGTTGTGGTAGTGATAATGATAGTGATTATGATGATGATTATGTCAATGATGACTTACATATGAAGAGAAGAGAAGGATGCAGTTTTGATGGTCAATTGTGGTGGTCATTGCCATGATGATAGGATGGTGATGACATTCATTACTCATCACAAGCCTTCAGTTTTTATCCAGACATAAGGTGGAGGATAGTCTTGGTTTCGATATATTTATTTTGGGGTGTTTTTTCATAGTTTATCTAAAAATATTCTTAAAAGCTTAATACATGTTTTCCAACTTCATTGGCTACGGTATATTATAATCATAAATCTTTTAGTCAAGTTGATTATCACAAACGGTCTCTTTTCTCAGCAACAACCCTTAACAGTTTATCAAAATGAATAATACAATTATTTGCAATAATTGTTTTTACTTTTTTTTCTTACTCTTTCAGATCCCAGCGTAGAACATGTTCGCTTTGTCAAGGATCTCTCAGCCTGGTGGTACAAGCCTAGCATAACAAGGGACGATGGTAAGATATACTCTCTCTTCCGTAATGTAAAGGAAAAGGAGAGGGGTAGGGAGAATGAAAGAGGGAAGGAGAGAGAAAGAAAGAAAGAAAGTGATGAGAGAGGTAAAGCTTTTGAAAGATAGAGGGAGAGAGGGGGAATGAAAGAGAATATGAGGAAGAATGAGAGAGAGAGAGATTAGGGAAAGGAGGTTGGTGGGAAAGGGAGACAAACAGGAGGATATGACGAAAGATAGAGAGAATGGTTAGAGAGGGGAAGGGAGAGAGTGATGGGATAGAGATAGATTGACAGGGAGATAGAAAGAAAGAGAGAGAGAGTGAGAGCATCAGGAGAGAGGTTTAGAGATAAATTTACAAGAAACCGCTCTTGGGGGAGTGAGAGAGAAAGATGGGGAGATGGTGATGTAAAGGAAGAAAAGGTTCAGAGAGGAAAAGAGATGGGGATAGAAGATAGACAAGAATGGGGGTACTAAAGAGAGACAAGCTGCAGCCCTCTCCGGAGACAGAAATGATGCAAGGAGGAAGAGGAAAGGATGTGAGAGGATGGAAATTGATTGGGGAATAAGGGAAGGAACTGTTCGAGGGTATCTGTGGGTTAGAGGTATATAAAAGGTGCACAGCTAAATCATGGGAGTTGTATAAATATGCATCTACTACTCAAAAAAATATTTACAGCACATTTATCATACATCATCGGATGCATATCTTTATCACTTGATGAATGTGGGAATGAGAATATTAGAAATCATGATGAATATTTAATTGTAAAATAAATCTTCCAAACAGATCAAGATCTATAGAAATAATTATGACCATTCGAGATATCACAAATAGTTTTATTTACTTGCTACCAAGGATTACTTGTGTTATTGATAATATGAAGCACTGGTTGATATCAGTTGTACTATAAAGAGAGGTCAAAATCTCTCTTGTCTCTCTCTCTCTCTCTCACAATACTTTTCTCTATATCTTGTTTCTCAGCTTATTGATAACATAAACATTACCGGTAAACGATTTATTACAAATTCAAAATGTGACCAATAATTAATACATTCTGATTTTATGACTTTGTTTCCACTCTCTCCCTCATCTTCTCTTATTTTTAGCAATCAATATTTTGAAGGACAGACCTCCTGGAACTTTTATCGTAAGAGACAGCAATTCCTTCCCAGGGGCATTTGGTTTAGCACTGAAAGTAGCACAGGTACCAGCGAACACGACACCAAGAAAAGGTAAGAAAACAACTTTTAAATTCTGTTAGTCATTAGTAAGGTACACTCCTTACTAATGTAAGTTATGGTCACAGTTATAAATTTTGAATTTATCTTGTACTTATGGACCGTGCGGACGAACTTGTGGTTACAAATCTTTAATTATCGTGAAGCCACAAACCATGACAGATCTTAACTGCAAGAAGCGGGGGTCCTCATCTATATCAGGGCTTCACTCTAACTTTCGTTGGGGGTCTTTATGAGCCCCGAGTAAAATTTTAAGATATTGGAGGCCCAGAGTTGGGATTTCAGGGTCCATATCATGTCCTGGCACCTATCAGTGTCAACCCCTATCTGTAGAGAAAAAATGTAGCTATACACAATTACTCAATTAGATTTTTTTGATAAACAAATGAAAAGTTAGTGTTGCAACTCTCTCCGAAAGAAATGTTTGAACACATTTATCTAGATCTTTCGTCAAATAGTCTTGTAGGATGAGCTAACTTTTATAATGTGATGTGGTGATGTGTTCAGTTGCAATGATAGACTAAAGATAATAAAAATGAGAAATTAAGAACGAGTCATTCATACTTAAAGAGAAGGTTGAGTTCTGGGAAGAGGTGAAAAATAATTTGTGAGCATTACTCATTCTTATTATGCAAGTGTGGAAGAACATCAGTTAAGACATGTTCCCTGAAAAGCATGGCTTTTCAAATGCCTTCATATTCTAAATATGCATGTAACATCGTAAAAATCGGGGGGCCGGCTTTTTACGCCACGTGTTCGTGTAGTCCCATATACATCTTTCTGTGCAAGTGTTTGTAACTTTACCAAGACTTGACCAAATTTCTTATAATTTTGATGATTCCAGAACCTTGCAATACACACAAATTCTTATATGCTAGATGATCAACTTTTTCTGGTCGGTTCCACACCGTTTCTTTCACAATGCAATCGCATGACCAGAACTCAACTTCATCTTTAAAAGGAAATGATGATACTGCTAATGCTAAAAAACTTTGTATAGTCCAATAATGCTATATGTAGTTGGCTTTACTTTTTGATTAGGATATTGAATATGACATGTCTAGGCCATAAGAATAAGTACACCCGATGAATTCATAATTAAGGCAGACAGAAAGATCTGAAGATTTATACCGATTAAAAGCTTCAAGGCTTAAAGCAATTTATGACCTTGGCCCCGTAACTTGAAGGTAAGTTATCAATTAATTGCTTTTTTGCAATTCCAATTGATCATGATGTAAAATCTATCGATCCGGCGATCGATCAAGCAATCGATCAAGCAATCATTCAATCAATTGGGAAGCTAAGCAAATTTGTTATAATATCTCAGATTCTCTTCCAAGAGTCTAACAACGTGGATATGTTTCAAACATCACAATGATTGACCTTTTCTTCATCACTTTCATTAAGTTCACTCTGATCTTTTTGAAAGTCCAACTTCTACCCTCATTTACCACACTGTGTAAATAGTAAGACAAATGTTTGTTAATCCTTATCCTCTACTAAGTATTTACTTTAAGAAAAGGAAAGAAAAGAAAAAGTTGCATAACTTTGGTTAGATCATCCCTTTTCGTTAAGTATTTGGGCTGAAGCCAAGTTAAGTTAGGACCATTTGATAGTTAGCTATTGCATTTGTAAGGTTTTGTTACCATAGAGTTACTAATCAGGCTTACATCGAGGGGCACAGTTGCTTGGTCTCCTGGTTCACAAAATGAAAGTTGTGTGTTCAAATCTTGGCCTAGTGCTTTAGGCTCTGGTAATGCCATCAACATTTGCATATGCCGTCTTCTGAAGGAATACTATGTCCTTTTGATTTATACATCTATAAATGATTGAGTCAAATCAGTTGTATGCAATAATTATAGAATTTAGATACAATCAATTGTCATAGCTTCAAATGTTGACCTAGGTAGAAAAATGGGCTGGTTATTGAGGCTTCATTACAGAATTTGACATCTAGGACAGATATTAAATTGCTTGACCTGAATCATTTAATGACTCAATTGCTTCATTAACCAGGCAGTGTATTAGGGGATTGAATATTATTTGATGGAAGGGCAGCAATGGTGTTCTGCACAATAAATGCATGCAGATCTATAGTTTCAAGCCAGGCTTTTGAAATGTATTCAGTTGCATCTTGATAGTTACGACCTATGTCCCATCATGACATCATGAGTAATTGAGTATGCCTCTAAATATTATCCTACGATCACAACTCAAACACTTGTCATTAACCAGAGTAGATCTTCCTTTGAAAACATCTGGAGTGCGTCTGAGATGTATGTCTATCTGATGGCATTGCATCATATCCCCTTCCTGGCTTGATCTTAATCTTGATTTAGAAGCTAAAGTTATCCTTTCATAAAATATTTTATCACATTTTCCTCTTTCTTATCTTTGGATGTGTTGCAGGCAGTGCCGTTCTTCTCTATCAGGTTCTCTTCCCTTTCTCATTCTCTCTCTCTCTCTCTCTCTCTCTCTCTCTCTTTCCTTTCCCTCTCTCCTTCTCTCTTTCACTCTCTGTATTTATCTTTCTCTTTCTCTCACTTACAATATTTCTCATTTCCCCTCTTTTCCTTGCTTTTTTCTATCCGTAACCCTCGCTCCCTTTCTAACTCTCCATCTTTCTCTCTGTCGTCTCCCGCTTTCTCCATTTTTTCACCACACCCCTCTCACTTTGCCCTCTCTGTCTGTCTCCCTCCAGCCCTCTCTCTCCCTCTCTCTCTCCCTCTCTCTCTCTCTCTCTTGCTCTATCTCTCTCTCTCTCTCTTTTGTTGTCTCTCCCTCTCTCTCTTGCTCTCTCTCTCTCTCCCTCCCTCCCTCCCTCTCTCCATTTTTCTTTCTCTTTCTCTTTCTCTTTCTCTGTCTTGCTCTTATCCCCTCTCGCACGCTCTCCTCGTAATACTCTGGTTTTCAGTTATATTTTCACTCATTCTCTGTTCATGTATGTTTTATTTTCTCTGTCACCTCTATCTTTCACTTTAGGTTTGTTGTACTAATGTATTCGTCTGTCTCAAAGAGATTACTACATTCTATCCCTCTTATCCAACCCTTTCCGCGAGATGCAGCCTCCGACCGAAAACCTTTCAAAAATTTCATTTCAAGCGACTCCTCCGCAAAAAAAAAAATCATCTCCAATCTGATTTATTGCACCGTGATGAAATGCATCCTGTGACAACAGACTTTATATGCCCCTTTTCCTCCCTTCCCAAACATACGTAATCACACCCATTACATGTAAAAGAAATTAACTTACAGTTCTAAAGCTTCACCTAAATCAAACCGACATATATATCCTCTCAGTCTATGAAAATGAAAATTCAAAAGCTAAACATCAAATGTTTCCCTTTGCAAAGCCCCATGTGTTATGTTTCCCCCGGCTGTTGGCGTGTATGTTATCTGTCTGTTCTCCAGGCTTTATCCTGTATATAAACCTGATTATGTTTATTTTTAAGTTCATAAAGGAAACAAGCATTTATCCATAAGTTATGCATTAGTTATGCAAAGTTTAGTCATACATTATTGGCAAAGAAATCCTTATCATAACGAAAGGATATGACTATTTTAAAATCACATCAATTTGTGAAGTGAGAACCATCCTGTTACGGGTATTGTTGAATGTTGATGTAGTTCTGAGTTTTTTCTTATGAATGTTGTTATAAAATTTACACTGTAATACTGTTTCTTCTTCTTAAATGTCATATAACGATCATGTAAGCCATGAGCAGATCTTGAATTTTATAAAGGGGAGGGTAGCATAACATTTTATATTGTTAGTATAGCACAATTACGAGCAAAATATCTGTCAAGCAATTAAAAAGGGTTATTACATTTTGAGGCTAAAGCACTTTTAAAAGTATTTGACAAACCAACAACAAAAAGAATGTTTTTCAAATTTGTAGGTGCCCTTTGAGTTTAAAATTTGAAGGGGGCACTAGATTATAATGATGGGCACGTTGTTTCTTGTGTACATGAGGTATGTCTGATTAGGTTGTTTTTTAATGGAGATATGACCAGTTGTGCCCCCCCCTCCCCCTTCCCCCACTATGCATGTAAGCAGCCACAAGCAGCCTTTGTAGTGGCATCAGGGACGTTAATGCAGTGTTTATCAAACTAATTATTGATCAATGTCAAAAGTTATACAGTCATACTCAGGCAATCTAATTAATATGTCCACTGCTCTGCATTTAGCAAGGTCAATTGCTTAAGTACTTAAGTAAACATTTTCAAAGTTAAGAGCAAACATATACATTCCATCGAGGATTGTATTGAATCACATTGAATATGAAATCATTTTGGAAGCAATAATAGCATAAGAGCAATCCCTGAAAGAGACTTTTGTTACAGAAATGATAATTAAAGAGCATATATGGATCCCCAGTCAGTCAAGCCAACTAATGATATGCAACATGAATCATGTTTGTGAAAAAAATTCAGGAACATGTTTCTGGTGAGCCCGAATTGGGGCAAACATATTTGAAATGTCAACAGACCGGAGGATCAAAAGCCAAACTAATCGAGTAGATGGTTGGGGATTAATCGCACCAAATTGCCAAATTGGTCACAAAATGAGGCAAAATTTGGTAATATGAGCCAATTAATTGGTCCGTGTTGTGTATATGCCTAGGCAATACTGGTAGCTTCAAATTAACCATAATTGAAACAAGCATGTGCAGATGTTTTGTTTTGCAATATATGAAATGTCATGGAATACTGTTTACTCAAGGGTGACAAATGACATGTAACGTTTAATTGATATCAGGATGATATATTCTGAGTCCTAACTTTTCGCAGGCTTACTTAAAGAGGCATGTTCCCCGTATTCCAGAGGGCGTTCAAAATACGTACCCGCTGGCGGACGGTGCTAGCTGCCTATTGACACCAACAGAATACGGCTCTTACGCAGATGGCATGTTCCGAATGCCCGGACAATACCGATTATCGCATACATGTGCCGAAATAATGCCAATCACAGTTCGGCTCTAAGATTCGGCTGC